ATAAATATGAAGAAAATAATCTTAATGTGTTCTCAGATAGGCCATAGTAATACAGCTTAGACAATAACACTAAGTGATTAACTCTATCAAATGCTTTTTCAAAATCGGTGTACACACAATCAACTTGAATGTTCTGATCAATAGAATTTATAACGTACTGTGAAAAATTTATTAAATTCGAATTAATTGATCGGCCCGGAAAAAAACCATGTTGATGAGGAGTGATAAAATTTGATACATCAAATTATACAATCTGTTGTATAATATGCACTCAAAGACCTTAGCTGGAGAAGATACAACTGCAATTGGTCTGTGGTTTTTTATGTCATTTTGAACACCTTTTTTTGGAATTGGTACTACTTTTGCAATCTTCCAAATATCTGGAAAACAGTTATTCTTCAATGAGAGGTTGAAAATGAAGTGAAGTGGTTTGACTAAAACATCAGCACAGCCCTTTAATAAATAAGGTGGAATGTTATCTGCACCTAATGACCTTTTTGATTTTAAATTTTTTCAAAGCATTTAAAACTTCTACTTCACCAATCTCAGAAATAATCAATGAATTGACATTCTCCAAAACTGGCGAACAAAGCGCCTGGTTTACAAGGTCGTCAAGGTCAAGGTCGTTGGATTGGTAAACAGATTGAAAGTAATTAGCCAGTGCCTCGGCTATCTTATCATTTCCCTCAATTTCCTTATCTTCATATTGCATAGTTCGTGGACCTTTACCACTTGCTCCTCTCAACTTCTTTATAACACCCCAAAATGATTGTGGGTTATTAGACAAGTTCATTTCGATATTTGTAATATATGCATCATAATCTGCCTTTATTCTCAATTTTATTTCAGAACGTAATTGTTTGTACTGATCTCGAAGATGATTCATTTGAAATTTTTTTAAACGTTTGCGAACTTTTTCTTTATTTTTTATCATCAATTTTAATTCGGGCGAGAACCAAGAGGGATGTTTGGGTCGGTATTTGAGGCGTCTTGCTGGAACGTGTGTGTGAAGAATTGTATGTATTTTGCTGTAAAAAATTTCCAAAGTGCTATTTAAATCATCACACTGAAACATTTCAGACGAGTCGCAGTCCCGGATGTCACAGTAAACTCTAAGAAAATCTGCTTTTGTAAAATCGTATGTGTGTGTGTGTAGTGTGTCGGCACTGAGGTCTGTATCCCCCCCTCTCACCCCCCGTACCATCTGGAATTCACATAACAGCGCGGGGTGATAACCATCAATATTTACAATAGGATTAGATTCTTCAACAACAGTCAAATTATTTATATCACTTAAAACTAGATCTAAAGTCCTACCAGTTACATTTAATATATTATTTTTTGACACCAAATTATGTAAACTACAATAATACATTAATTGTTTGCAAGTCTCATTTCCCTTAGATAAATCATATCCAGACCCTACAATATGCTGATTAAAATCCCCTATTACTATTATATGTTCTTGTCTACGTACAAATAAATCCAACTTATCAAAAAATGATTTGTAAGAACTAACATGCGAGTTTGGTGGAAAATAAACTACAGCTAATATCACAGAAAAAGTTTTAGTAAATTTTAAACTAGCCCAAATATTATCTCCATCCGTTTCTAATTCAACTAATCTCTGGATATTAATAGATTCATCTACTGCTAACAGAACCCCACCACCCCTACTCTTCCCTGTAAGCATTACATCTCTATCACGTCTCAATACAGTATAATTGTCTGGAAAAAGTTCAGAACTGCTTATTGAATGTGTAAGCCAAGTTTCAGTGAGTGCTACTATTGGATAACAGTTCTCTAATAAATTTAAACGGAAAGTATTTAATTTGGACCTTAAACCTCTAACATTCTGATAATAAATTACAACCTTATTGTTTTCCTTTTTTTTTTTATAATACACATGCAGACTAAACAAAAGAAAACATGCAAAATGAATAAATATATATCATGCTTCATATTCAACCAGAAAAGGTAATGAATTGGCGTTCAACAGACATAATTTATCGGTTTATGAAAAAATTCCATCTTATAGTGGTGTTAAATATTTCAATAGCTTACCTGACAATATAAAAAATATAAGTAATTTTAATTCATTTAAAAAACGTTTGAAATTATTTCTCACCAACAGACCCTTGTATAAATTAGAAGATTTTTTCCAACTTCCTGAAATTTGATTTTTTTCATAATAACAATATTCTTTGTAAGTAGTCTTAAGTTTAATATTGTGTTTTTATAACTGACTCCATTCTGTACAAAATGTACAATATGAATAAAGTTTTTTTGATTGATTGATTGATTGATATAATACAGTTTGATTAGAAGGACAGTTTGAATTGGTCGTAAGTACTATATATTTCTTTTCTTAAATGTAAATGTTGGTTTTTGGTACTGCTACCAAAAATTCCTTAGAACTGGTGGTAGCAGTTGAACCATTTTTACGTACAAACACATCACTATTTACAACTATAGTTATGACGGTATCGTTAGTGCTGCACCTTATTTCTTATTAAATTTAATTGATGTCTTACTGTATAATGATTGCGTTTTCTGTCTGCGCTTCAAAATGTTAGTTTATACTAAGAAAATTATAAAACATTAGTGAAAGATTTTGTTAGCAAACCATCATGAATTTTTAAAGTTTGGCGTTGTTAACGTATAAATGTTTTGTGGACTGTGTATTTATTTACTTATTTATATATTTGCCAACGGATTTACACCAATTTTACAGTTTGATTAGGCCTAAAAGTGATTATCATAAAACTTTATGAAACAAAACTTTCAAATAATTATTTTGTTTGTAATTTGCTTTGGTTAAAGCGTAGCAAATCCCCTTATTCAATTCTGTTTTTGTGTGTGTGTGTGTATGTTTGTTGGTAACGCATTAATGTCCTTTTTTCTCAGTGTTTCGTGGAAAATACAAGAGCACCTTAAAGAAAATTTCAACCAGAATAAAGTGTGCAGTAGTGAGGTTGAGGTAGTATTTTAACTACTTTTAACCAGTGTAAAAAGTAACTTCCAATTACAGGCCTACCTTAGGGCTATGCCTCATAGATCAATAAAGCAATTCCTTTTACCATTAGATATAAAATATGGACCAACACGATCGGGTGACATTTAATTGCGAAGCATTCGTTTTGGCTTTGAAACTGTCAGATATTGAAAGTGTCTCAAATTACTCACAGTAAAGAGTTTTTCATTCAGTTTAAAATTCTTACTTTGTATAGTTCTTATATCTTTAAACTAGCTTTAATGGTTAAAAGTGATTTTGACACATTCATGGAAGATCAACATGCCCATCCTCACAACACTAGATTTAAAAACAATATAAAACCAGTTCAACACAGACTTAAAGTATTCCATTTATCTCCTCAGTACATGGGCCCAAAAATATATAACAAATTACCTTCTTCAATTAGGGACACTGATTCATTCCCTAAATTCAAAAAGAAGTTAAAAAACTTTCTTTCGGAGAAGGCCTTCTTCTCATTGGAGGAATATATGGAAGCTATATGTAGATGTTTAAGGCTCAGCATATGAAATTTATTTTAGTAATAATTTTTGTATAATAGAGACTATAAAATATTGTAACAATGACGAATCACCTGTCTGAATATGATGTTATGTGATTATTGAAAAAAATAAATAAATAAATAAATTGTATTTGCGAATGTTTATGTATATTCCTATACGGTAATAGTTTCGCCAGCATATCTGGAAAAATGCACACCAAATATGCAAACCAACTTCTGTTCTGAATATAAGGTTTCAACTTACTACAAGATTCCCGTACGTAGAACGGGCACACAACTAGTTTTAAAATGAATTTCAACCAAGTCAGCAAATATTTGTAGCAAACTGTTAAAATTAGCAAACTTATTGACATGCTCACTTTTGATTTCTGACAACAGCTGGAGTTTCATAATAATTTTTGTTTCTAATGTTAATCTTATGGAGAAATACAAAATTTTAAAGGGCTCCAGGGCCTCACTCTTTCATTATTTCCCTAAAAAAAAGTTTCCTGCACAACTTCACGTTACGCTCTTTCCAATGACACCAAAAACATGTCAATCGGTTCAGTAGTTTCGGAGGAGTAATTGTCACAAAATCTGCTTGCGTATTAAATAAGTAGGCCTATAGATAGATTTAATGCACGTTATTTATTTTAGTATGGTAATTTCAAGGAACCCATTAAAACTAGTTTAATATTGTTCTTATTATAAATTATTTAATTATTTATTATGTATTATTTATTTAGTTATGTATTGTTGTATTGTTATCTCAAGTTATCCATTCTAAATCTGATTGAATATTGTTGTCTAAATTACTCATTATATTATTGTATTTAATTCATGCTATTTATTGTTATATATTTATTTATTTAAGATAATTGTTTCAAGTTGTTGTTAAAGCAAGTTAATGTTAGTCTTCTATAGAAAGGTAGAGTATAAGGGGAAACAATAATGATAGCAGATCTTGACAAAAAACAAGGTAAACCAAAATGTAATATGGATATAAGGACTGACCAAGGGACAAAGTATATTATTATCAAGAACAAGTTTTTCTCTATGAGCTGCAGACAAGCCAAATTTTCCTGGCTTTTGTAGCAAGTTGTTTATAAAGTGTTGTAAGATTTTGTGATTTTTCAAATAAATAAAAAAAAATAAAAAAGTCCCCATGGACGTTAAACATGTCCAATCCTCTTCAAAACAAGTGGTGTGAATCCTCTGTTCTACCGTGCGTATTTTAAAGAGTGGACCATGCTTAATGTCCAAGGATGGAACTTGTAAATGAAGCCATTAGCTTTGTAACTATGGTAGTTTGACTACTGTAATAGTCCCTTGCAATAGACAAAGTAATATAATATATTTATTGGATAAGATTGTTTTGTTACTCAAAATTTTCAAAACACATAGATTAATATTTAGACACTAAAATTAAAATTGTAATTAGTATACTGAAAAAACTTCAAATCTTAAAAGCAAAATATTTTATAGATGAAGAAGTTAATGGCTGAAGTTGTGAAGAACAACCCGGAGTTTTCTGTAGACTTGCTGGCCGTGCTAGGCCCTGCCGTGTGTTCCTTGGATGTAGAAAGTCTGAGGGCCTTGTCTGTGGTAGGACTGGACCTTGGATCATCTTGTCCCTCTTGTCTAACCTACCTCGCCACCAGGGCCACAGAAGAGCTCGGAACTGTCCACTCATGGACTCAGCACTTTGTATACTCTCTACAGGCTATAGTTGCAGGTTTGTCTTATTTTACTAGATTAGTTAATATGAGGCCAGAGAGGGTGTGTATATCAAGGTGAGGATGAGTAAAGAATGAGTAAGGAATGATAAAAATACTGTTATTAATGCAATATTACCAACATTTTAATTCTTTTCATGATTATTTTATCAGTACCGAACTCAACCTAAATTTCCCCATTCTTAAATTTTAAAATATCTCCTGTGAACATTTCTCAAGTTATTAAGTAAAAACAAAATCCTACAAAATTAATTGTAATCCCAATCTCAAGAGTTTTAAGTTGGTCCAGACTAGTCAGTCACAATGATAAAATTTACTTCACATTTGTGTTTATAAAAAAAAAACCTACTCCAATTGAAATTCAAACAAGCAACTGAACATTTGCTTATTGTGAAGGTGTTTTGTGTGATGATCTAGGTTTTATAAATGCAAAATAAAGTAACTAAATATTATATTATTTCTATTTCTGCATTGAAAAGGTTATTGGTATATATCTCACAGAGATCCAATTTTTATGTTATTCATGATTTACTTGGAAGTAAGTTCTGGATATATGGAAGTTTGAAAGGGTTGTATTTTTTAAGCTTCTGGGACCCTAAAAAGGTACAATTTTCATAGACCTAGGTCTGTATTACGGTAATTACTACTTTTTAGAGGAAAATTCAAAGAAGCCTAAAATCTTTTGTGGAGAAACAAAGAATACGCTTTAGAATAATATTTGTTATTATTATTAACTTGGTACAGCACGTATACAACACATTTCCAATACAAAGCTGTATAAGCCTTATAAAAAGGCTTGTCCACAGCATTTCTTTTAACACTAATGTTTTTTCCACCCTTATCTTGAGTCAGTGTGAACTTTTAACTGTATAAAAATATGTTTCCTACTTCTTGAACAGTAACAGATTTGGCTTATAACTATTTAACATGATTTTAAACATTTTATAAAAAAAAGACTGTATTAAAAATAAAATTAACCCTACGAGTGGGGAAACAACAAAAAATGTAGATCTCAAATTGTGTTGCTGAAGTGTAAGCCAACAAAGATTTTTCGATTATCGTCACATTTTTCCCTGTTGCATTTTACGCACAGTTATAGTCGGTGAAATGACACACTGTAACTCTTAGGCCCCGGGTACGATACGACGAGCGGCGCCGCTCTGACATCGGGTCACGATACGCCTGAGCGGTGAGCGGCGGTAAACGGCACCGCTCAGCGCCACTCATGGTTCCAAGTCAAAACCGATTATTGCGAAAAAGCCGCTCGCCGCTCAGGTGAGTCATGCTTCAGTTCAGCCTAAAATGACAGGGAAACAGCAGCAAACATGCAATACGGGTCGATACGAGGTGCAGTCCAGGGAATGTTTGTAGAATGAACAGCACGGAAGTTTTAAAACACTTCAGTCACCAGAAAAGTATGGGACAAAGTTAGGGTTAAGGATTTTCTAAAAACTAAGTTTTTCTTTAATTAAAGGCAAACAATTTTCAAATAGCAACAATAGTTCGTCTTGCAGGTAAGCATAGTTTACCATTTTCGACTAAACTGACTCATAAAACTGGGGAAATTTGATGAGCGTTATAAATGTGCCGCTTGTATCGTAGCCACCACCGCCGCTTATGTGCCGCTCAGGTTGCCGCTCGCCGCTCGTATTGTACCCAAGGCCTTATACCAACGGAAAGAAGAGATTCTGAAGATTCATTTTATTATAGGAATGAACATAGGCTAAGTATATCGATCTAATCATGAGTTACATTTGAATTAAAATAACGCACGAACTCATGACCCCTGTTAAAAGCCAAAAATGGAGAGAAAAAGACTCGATACTGAGCAGAAAATAATTTAATTACTCACAAAAGAAAAGTATACTCAATCATAGTAAAATACTACAAAAATTATTATTCTGTAATAACAAAATAACAATTCATAAAAAAACACTTGTGTCAACATGTTCATACTTTTATAGCAGCTGCAAAAAGACAATACAAAACATAATCTGTAGAATATTTAAACCAAATGTTTGAACAGTATATCGTCTAATTTTTCTTCCTCTTTGTGTGTAAAAAAGTTGATCATTTTCACGTTCTACACCTTCAGCCACTTGTTCATCTTTCATTTTGAATGTTTCATTACCATCTTGACTGTTTTTCTGCTGGACCAATTCAAGTGGAAACACATGTTGTATGGGTCTCAGCACTTTTGATGTTTTCATTTCCACAAGACGTATGTTGCCATCTTTTCCAGGAAGTATCTTCTCAATCTTCACCAAAGGCAATTCCATCCGTTTGGTATTGTCGCTTCCAAGTAAAACAATTTCTCCAACTTGTACTTGACAAGATTTCTTCTTCTTCGAAAGCAACACTAATTGACTTAAATATTCCCTTCTAAATCTTTTTTTTGAAGATCTTTTAATTTTTATTTAAAGTTCCAACATTGAGACAAATTTGTGTAGTTGATCTGGTCCAAGTCAATAACTCCATAGGTACTCCTTTGTAGCATTCAAAAACATATCTGGTATCTGAGATGACTGCTATCATAACGCTTTTTTAGTGTTCATAACAGTGTCAAAACTTCCATGTCATGGGTGTTTTCTGAAATGTATGTCAAGGGTCTACTATTTATGACAGATTCACAACTGCACAAAGCGGTAAAAAATTCTGCATAATTCAAACTATCTCTTTCTAAGACTTTGCAAAGAAGCTGTTTCAAAAGTCTTATGAGTCTTTCCCACCAGCCTCCCGACCATGGTGAGGTGGGTTGAATTTCCATTTTATACGTTTGACTGTGCTGTACTCAATTATCTTATTCCAATCTATTTGCTTCAACGCACTGTAAGCCCTTTGGAAGTTAGTGCCATTGTCCACAAACAAGACTGTTGGTCGACCCCGTCTGGAAATTAATCTTCTCAAACTTTGCAAGAATGAATCAGAGTTGATAATGAAGTAACTAACTCCAAATGCACAGCACGGTATACTGCACATGTATATAATGTAATCCAAGCTTTTTGGCCATCAGGTCCAGCTAAGTCAACTCCACAGACTTCAAAAACAGTAACCCGTTGGGAAGGAAGTGGTACTGGATCAGAATCCAAACTTTTAACAAGTTGTGAATTGCTCAATATGACTAAATAGCCTATAGATACTAATAATGAGAGAAAATATCAAAAGTAACAATAATAAAAATACAGTACATGCAAATACTGGACAATGAAAGAACTAAGAGTAACAAGAAATAAATACATAGTTGGATTAATAATGAAAATATGTTAACAATAAATGGCACATGGATCTAAATAGAAAACAATAAATAATAAAGATAACTATAACTATGATAAATATTTTTGTGAAAACAATAAATAACATTAATAATAAAGCAATGATAAATATTTTAAGTGAATAGCTATTGTAAATTATTACCAATCTAAATCGCCTTGTGTACTTCGTTTAATAAATAATGCTGTCATTTCAACACCATTTTGAGTCATCTTCGAATTAAGCAAAGCAAATATAAATTGTCATTGCAGACGGCATTATCACTACACGATAAGTAGGCCTAAATACAATTATCATCAAATATGACGACACTATCAAATTCCAAATACTTATTTTGTATGTACTTTGCTTTGGTTAAAGCGTAGCAAATTCTCTCATTTGATTCTATATTTTTGTGTGTATGTCTTTTGGTAACGCATTAATGTGAGGTTGAGGTAGTATTTTAACTACTTTTAACCAGTGTAGAAAGTAGCTTTAAATTATAGGCCTGCCGTAGGGCGAGATCCATGCAGTGGTCCGAAAGGTAGTGCTCCGAAAGGCACTGGTTCGAAAATCATTTTCGGACTACTGCCTTTCTGAGTACTGCCTTTCGGAGCAGTGCCTGACCATGCTTAATCTGTCGGACCAGTGCCTCATCTTTGTATTATTTTCGAACCACTGCCTCTCGGACCACTATCTTTCGGAGCAGTGTCTGAGCGTGCAGATTGTTTCGAACCAGTGCCTTAGCAATACATTCTTTTCTGACCACTGCCTTTCGAAGTAACGCCTGGGCTCCAACATTGGTTGAGGGAGGAGCAAGAACCGAAGGCGGACCCCCGTTGTAGGGGAAGGAGGGGTGTGTCAGTGGTGGGCGGAGTCAGAATGCCACGGTCATTGACGAGACCTTATCTGGAGGAATAATCCAGCACCACCGCGCCATCCCGAGCGCTTCCGAACCATAACAAATATAGCCGAGGTCCGAATATAACGCCTTGTGTCGTCTGTCTGGAATCGGGACAGCGGAATTGAAATCGGAACGAAACATCGGAGCGATTTCTTCCAATCCCGAGCCTCCTTTGAACACTGATAGGAATAGATTAGTCGTTTAATGATGTTATGTAATTAATTATAAACTATTTGCAGAAAGTTAAAAAATCCAAACTAAATCCTTTAATCTTCATCAGTATATATTTATCCTTTTAAAAAATCTCCTATTTTTTCTGGAAAAATAAATAGTGAATTTCAATGTACCTATAGTTAGGCAACAGTTTTAAAGTAATTTTGGAAAAAAAAACTTTATAGTTAAATGCAGAAAGCTATGTGGAAATGAATGATATTTTACATGATTTTAAATGATATTTTGTCTAGACACAATAATAACAAGTAAGTCGATTTTTCGTAAACATACCCCTTATTTTAATTAGGTACTGTTAGTTTTCCTATGTATATAGTATTATCTCAATTTAATTTATGCCAGTTGTATAGCTCATTCCGTCTGATATGCGAAGTTAACATTGCTATTATTTTTTTAGCTTTTTAATTGAAATCAATGTGGCCTATCCAAAAACACCAACTTACCTAAGATTAGCAATATCCTATTATTAGAATGCTACGGTAATAACTTATTCTCTTTGGGGAAACTTGCTAAAATTATATCCAAGTGTTGGTATTCATTACTGTTTATTAGATCTCGTTCGTTTGTTTTTTAAGATAACGATACATTATTGTTTAATGCACCTGCTTAAAAAGT